CCTAAAAAGTAATAAAACAATATAGATACAGGGTATGTGGGTAACCTTGGAGTAGAATCTTTCTTCCTGAAAGTGTTTTGTCCAGATGAAGGGAAAGAAATAAAAGGAACATGAAAGCCAATAAAGAAAAAACAGGAGCGTGGAAGACCATCATTAATCTTCTATTCGGGGTTAGTCACAGCTGCAGGGGATGCAAAATGCTTCAGTAGCAATTCCATTCAGAAACCAACTTAAGCACTGGGGGTCTGGGCAGAAGTGAATAAGAGCCCTAATTGCATACCTGATTCTGGAGTTATGCACATGACCCCAGAAGCAGCAATTAAATTAAGAAATGAGGTTACTGAAAATGATAATTTTAGCAAAGTTTTCTGTGTGTAGACACAAGCCACTCATTTACAGATTGTAATGGTATTAACTAGATGATTTTTCAGGCCTAGATTTGGTGTAGGCACATGAAGAAAATGTGGGGAACTAGTAGGAATTTGGTGGGAGGGGGAGGGTTAAGCCCAGGAGAGCCATATAATGGTGCTCAATTCAAATTGGACTCCAACAATATAATAGTTGACCCCTGAGATAACTCCAGTGTGAAATAAGTCTATGCACAAAGTGATCATAATCTCAAGTCATTATCATAAACATTTAGTGCTTCATCCCTCTATATCCCAATCCCAAATCTCCTTTGTGACTTCTAAGAAACTGGACATTCCATTTCAGAGACCAAATAGTTAACAGATTAGTGACCTGAATATTTCACTAGGTAGATGTGAAAATATTTTACACACAAAAAAAATAGTAGTAGTTCCAAATGTTATGGTAAAAATAAATTTATTTGGAAAAATAAAATACCCTACTTCCTTTCTTGGCCAGGGTAAAGCCCTACCACAGTGGCATTCAGTTAAAATGAGTGACTGCCACAGCAGTGCGCTCCCACATGTGTGAAATCAACAACAGTACAAGTCTCAGTGTCCAAATGACTGTTTCCAGTTTATCATGCTGACTGTACAAGAATTACTTCACATCACAACAAAGAAGAAAACCTCCAGAAGAACAGACCAGAAAATGTCCACTGCAAGAAGCCTTGTTGATCTTTAAATTACTTAAAAGTTCTCCAGCTTGCAGTCTCTAATTTGGTCTTGCCATCAACTTCACGTCTGTGCAAACTATGAATTAACAAATGGCTTCTAAAGCAAGAATTGCTTTAAAAAAAAAACTCTGACTTGATGATAAACACATCTTTAAAGGCATGGTTTTTAAATAGCATTGTTTTGCATACTCTAAAATGTGATTTTTTTCCCCCCAACATTTTTTCTTTTTTTTTTAAAGAGATTTATTTATTTTTGCAATAAGAACTGGGGTACAGGGCAGAGGTGGGGGGGTGATAGGAGTCATCCGAGACAGAGTGGGGAGCAGAACAGGCAGAGGTACTGAAATACACTGCTGAGGGGAGCAGCGGGCAGGTCAGAGAGGTCTGCTGTCCCATGTGGGTCACCCCCCCCGGCAGGGGATGAAACTCATGCTGCAGTGGCTGTGGATAGCTTCATTGTGCTGTGCTCTAATCTGTTGCGCCACCATTTACCAACATTTTCATGTCATAAATTTAAAGACTCATACAAAATATCACAATCACTGCTCTATTGCACTAGTGCCCCATAGTTGACTATGGACCATGATTCATCATCCATATTTACTGTAGATTATTATGAAAGTCCAGTTGTGGCCAGCCAGCTGACAGTCCTCTTTCCCAGTCCAAAGTTAAATAAATCAGTATTTTTTTAAGTGTTGTTCCAAACTATTTGGGGTCCCTCTGCATTGGCGCTGGATAAGAAGGCTTGAACTTTAATTGCCTTTTGCAGAAGGATTTTAGTTAATAAGCACTGAGTGGTCATCACTTCCTTTCCTGTAACAGTGGGGAGGAAGAAAGAGAAAAGAGAACAATGATTTAAAAATCTGTGAGATGAAGTAGAGAGATGCTTGATATTCACAGGCAGGTTACAGATATGCTAAGAGCAACTTATAAGTGAAAGAAAAACCTAGAAGGACAACTTATGATATTTTTGGTTTTAGTACAGCTATTTGGCAACTTTGAGAAGCTGTCCACTTCCTGGGTCCCTCCATCTCCCTTCTTTAGCAAAGCCGTCCTAATGTCTGAAAGAGATTTTCTGCTTTCACTGCAGTAGAGGAGAGAGGTGAACTGGCGTCTGTTCAACAAGTATTATCTTTCCAAGGAGCCTCATTGCATTAGAACTGGAAGAGGTTTCGGTGGTCACCCGTTCCACCCTGACGCCATGGAGAAACTGAGAGGCCCAGGAGCCCATGTGCTGTCATCAGGCTTAAAAGTCTTGAGCAACAATTAGAAGGAGAATCAGTCTAGAGTGGTTGCGGGCCTGCTTGGTTGCAAAAGACTGACCAGTTCGTCCATGCTGAGTGTGGAGCTGTGCTCAGTGATGCTGTCAGGTGTGGACACTGGAGACGGTCCAGAAACTGGTATTTGCAATGCCCTTATCATCCAGCTGCCCTCAGTGAGGTCTTTCTCTTAAGATTTATTCTCCACTCATAGCATTTTCCAAGTTTACTCCAAATGTATGTCCCCTTCAAGTCTTTAAATATCCCCGTGAATTTGTGGCAGGAATCAAAGTCATCAGGTGTTCTCAAGACCCTAGTACAGTTCATTTCCTTCATCAGGCCCTCTGACCTTCACTCACTGTCTGCAAGGCCCATCCAGCCCCTCTGGCTTCCAGGCTTTGATTGGATATTCAGATCACGCTGCTGCTCTCGCCAATCTCATCCACGCTCATCTTTTGCTAACAGCCACTTCTGTTTTAATTGCTTTTGCTATCTTCATTTCCCAAAAACTTCAGCTTCCCACTTCTTTAGTTGGGTTTCCTCAGAGGACACTCTTGTTCTGTTTAATTCTCTCATCCCTCCTGATGGGCAAACGCTCCTTCACACCAGGCATCTTCTCCACACTGTTAGCAAGTCTCAGGGTCAACTGTCTGCTACTCACAACTCAGACCCAACTTTATCAGCTAGGCCATCCCTTAAACCTCACACTTGTGCCACATGGCTACACAAGAAAACACTTAACAACCCCCTAGGGACTTTTGTGATGCAAATGATACACCCAAAATATCAAACACTGAGAACCTGTCAGCTACTTTCCAGAATTCAGTTGCATTCTCTAATGACTATGTTTTCTTTATAGTTAACTACGTATTAGAAAAGCAACTTTGAAATACTTTCCTCATACAAGGTGCCTTTTAGGAGGCAGCTGCCTATTTAGAAAATTAATTTCCCTTTACCCCAGCTTCCATGGCAACAATTTAATGCTCTGAGAGGATGAAATGTGATTTTAAGAACTTAACTCTTCTCCAAAGACCTCATTTCATATTTACCAGACATTATTTGAAAATGCTCAATCATATCATTTCAAATCCCAGGATACAGTATGAATTGATTAACAGAAATTACATCCTGTGGTTTTAAGTAGCAATTATGTTCTCTCATCTTCCTTTAGGAATTTGGTTTAGTAAATCCTTTTCAAAAAACATGGGCAGGGGATACTTTTAGTTAACAACCCCCACCCCTGACTTAAGATGAAAACAAACATGTCTACAATTAAAAAAAAAAACAAACCTATATTCATTTGACCCCCATTTGTGAGCCCAAACCACACATGGTTGCTTTGCCACTGATGTTTAAGCAGTTTTCCTATGTGTCCTGAGAAACAGCAAGCAGAGTATAGTCAGTCCATGAAGAACTACTTGAGGCCATTTCCAGTCAAGGACACCTACAGCCTCCTGATAAGCAGATTTCTTTCTTTTTTTTTTTTTTTTAAAGATTTATATATTTATGTACACAGAACTGGGGTACAGGCCAGAGGTGCAGGGGCTGTGAGGATTCACCAGAGACAGAGTGGGGAGCAGAACAGGCTGACTGACTATACACTGTTGAGGGGAGTGGTGGGCAGGTCAGGAGAGGCCTGCCGCGCCATGTGGCAGGGGATGGAACTCATGCTGAAGTGGCTTTGGCTTCTTAGTGCTGTGCTTTAAAATCTGCTGTGCCACCAGGGAGGGCCTGATTTTTTTTTAAAACCATTTATTAATTTATACATACAGAACTGGGGTATAGGCCAGAGTTGCAGGGGCAGTGAGAGGATTCACCAGAGAGAGAAGAACTGGCAGAGCTAAATACAATGCCGAGGGGAGCAGCGGGCGAGGTGGGAGAGGTCTGCTGCGCTGTATAGGTCAGCTCCCTGGCTGGGAATCGAACTCATGCTAAAGTGGCTGTGGCTAGCTTTATAGCACAGAGCTCTAGCCCACTGTGCCAACAGGGAGGGCCCATTGTAAGCAGGTCTCTGCTCCATTCAAGAAATTGTGAGAAGGAAAAACCCCTTTGGCACTGCCAGGGCTTCACCTCTAAAACTACAAGTTTTGACCTCTTACTAGACCACTTACAAGTTTACCCTCTTTACTTTAGGAACATAATTCATGGCTTCTTGTAATAGCCTCATAATATTCCCAAGAGATTCCTACCATGTCATGTACTTCTCTGTCCTGCTTTTCAGAAACAATCCATTTCTAAAGCCAATTTCAGTGTGAGGAAAGAAATGGAAGAGGAGGGCCCTCCCTGGTGGCGCAGTGGGTGAAAGCACAGCACTAAGAAGCTAAAGCTACTTCAGCATGATTTCGATCCCTGCCCCAGAGGTGACCACATGGTGCTGCAGACCTCTCCTGACCCGCTCGCTGCTCCCCTCAGCAGTACTTCATCAGCCGGTCTATTCTGCTCCCCACTCTGTCTCTGGTGAATCCTCTCACTGCCTCTGTACCTCTGGCCTGTACCCCAGTTCTGTATGCATAAATAAATAAATTTTTTTAAAAAAGAAATGAGAGAGGTATTATTTCCCACCATCAGCTGTTTTCAGAGGTTAACTAGGAAGGCCTCTTTGTAAAGTCACAGCAGCTCACCTCAGAGCAGGAGATCTGGGTAAACACATTACTGACCTCCGACAGCACATGCAGGACAGGAGGGCTGAGACCTCCTTCTGATACTCCTCTTTGCCACTGTCTTCCTTCAGGAATTCCTGGAGATCTGTTTCAGGAAACCCATTCTGCTGGTATTTCTTTGAAAAGTACACAGCGTTGTTACCTTATTTGTGGAGCATGAGAAATTGTTCCCTTGTGAACAAACCAAACCCACCTTTGCTAAAATAATACTCTCCCACACTGCTAGGTCAGATCCAAGAGCTGATATTAACAATGATAATTCAATATGTCAGTCCCAGAGCAAGCATGGGAACATAGAACAATGCAAAGGAAAGCACCAGAAAACAAGCCACAGTGGGGCAGAGGAAGGGTGTGTTAAGAAGGGGGATGAAGGAAAGAATCAAAAGTCTCAGTTTTACTGCTAATTACAAGACTAGATAAGCCCTCCCTTGCCCCACACTGCCAACATAGAATCTACATGGGAAGAAATCTCTATTTGCTCTGCTGTCATAGAATGTGGTTACCTAGTGGTGCAGAAGATAGTAGGTTTTTCTTTTTTTTTATTTTTTAAGATTTATTTATTTATGCATACAGGCCAGAGGTGCAGGGGCGGTGAGAGGATTCACCAGAGACAGAGTGGGGAGCAGAAAAAGCAGACTGACGAAGTACACTGCTGAGGGGAGCAGCGGGCGGGTCAGGAGAGGTCTCACATAGAATCATGACCCACACCATGTGGGTCACCTCCAGGGCAGGGATCAAACTCATGCTGAAGTGGCTTTAGCTTCTTAGTGCTGTGCTTTCACCCACTGTGCCACCAGGGAGGGCCCAATATTAGGTTTTTCTAAGACGACACAAAGATCTGGAGATCCCACCCCCTTTCTTCATGGTTCCTGAGGTCATCTACCGTGTCACTGAGACTTGACCCACTCATAGAGACACACTCTTGTAAAAGATAAGATCCCATTAGGTAAGAGCATGTGGCTTGTCTCTCTGCAGACCCAGTCCTGCTAGAACTGACCATCCATTCCCACAAAAATTCTGACCACACCCCACCCCGACACACACACAAGGTACTCAGAAGTATTTCTAGCAGACTGGTTTCTGAATTGGTCTGAGCAGACAACACACCAAAGCACACACATAGTATCATGGGTACCTCAGATGCTGGCCTTGAAAAGGAATTTTCCAAGCACAGCCATCTGCTGTGGGGTACACCACCAACGCTCATGAGTTTCCTTTTATTTTTATATATTTTTTTAAAGATTTATTTTTAATATTTCCTTAAAAAGATTATATATCTATTTATTCCATAGAAGAACTGGATTATAAACCAGAGGTGCAGGTATGTGGTAAAAGGATTCACCAGAAACAGAGTGGGGAGCAGCGGGAGAGAGGCGAGGTCTACTGCGCCATATGGGTTAGCTCCCTGGCTGGGGATCGAACTCAGGCCACCCAGTGGGCCACCGTAATGGCTAGTTGTGGTGGTGGCACTGAGACTTAACCCCTAGGCCACCAAGGAGGCCTCCATGAGCCTTCCTTTCAGCTATAAATCGGTTCGGTGGACCTGTCTGAAACAAATCCCACTGGGTGGCTTGGGAAAAGGGGAAGTTAAAAAGCCACAGAAACCTTAGTTTTCATAATTTAAGGAAACCTGCAGCATACAAGTGGCCATGTCATCCTGTGTGCAGGTGCACAAGCGTCTGGACACTGATAAGGGGTGGTCACCCTTATCATCTAAATGTACTGCTCAAGGCCTAAGTCTCAGGTAGCCACCCAGGTAGGAACACCTAAGTGCTGAGACCAACAGTCTACATACTCCATTTACCAGACTCAGCCTGTCCTTACCCATTTCCTTTGTCTTTCCCACCACACCTCTAAGCCAACCCACTCTCATCTGGTGTCAGTGACAATATCCTAAATGCATATTTAAAATTAACCTCCAACATGTAAAAACTTTCTTTTTTCACAAAATCTAAAGAGTAAATCTTTAATATTTAAGCACGTTAAAAAACGTACTATATTCCCATGTTCCTGTCTATATAGATTTGCAGTAGTTATGAAAAGGTAGGAAATACTGATCACTTCTTACCTTAATGGTGTCATAGGAGTCTGTAATAAGTGCAATGAAAAGGCTGAGGATCATATAGATAAAAAGACTGATGAAGGAGTAGAGATACAGGCGACTGAACAGCCACACCAAAATGCTCTTCTGCTGGATATGAGCAAAGGTCGCAAACATGTCATCACCGTTGACCAAAGAAAACAGACACTCAGCAACTGTGTTCAGATTTTCAAACTGTAACGAGAACCCAAATCGGTTTTTGAGATCTCTTATTCAAAAACGTAGAGAAGTATCTAGTTAGTTGAAGCTGTTAAGTATAACATTCATTTTGAGACAGCAAAAAGATCACACAAAGTGGGAAAACATCACTCAAAGCTCCCTTCCACATTCATGAAGACAATCTCGACATTTCCCTCCATTTGGGGGATGTCATTTTCACATGCTGCTGGTTACATCATCAACAATTTTTGATCCTAGTATGCTTTCTATTTAACATAAGTTTAGTCTTACGTTATTCATACTTAGCGAGCGTGTGTTATTTAACAGCCTATTGCCTGGAAATGTTGGCTTGAACTGACCCTGTCAGTGGACAGCCCTGTGCCTAGCATAAGAACAATGCGATGAGCACTTCTGAGCAATGTGTTCTCCTGGTACTGGGTCTGTGAAAGTAATATTTCAGAGGCTATGATGTGCCAAACCAGCTTCTGAAAAATGGTCCTAGCTGTATTGCACACCCAGCAAAGATGCATGAGACACAGTGCCAGGCTCAAGGACACTTGGCTAACTAGATGGTTTCCAACCATGTGTTTAGGTAATTTCTTTTTTTTTTTTTTCAAAGATTTATTTATTTATTCATACATAACTGGGGTACAGGCCAGAGATGCGGAGGGTGAGAGGATTCACCAGAGACAGAGTAGGGAGCAGAACAGGCAGATCGATGAAGTACACTGCTGAGGGGAGCAGTGGGCGGGTCAGGAGAGGTCTGCCTCACCATGTGGATCTCCTCCAGGGCAGGCGGGTGTCGAACTCATGCAAAAATGAGCTTCTTGGTGCTGCGCCACCAGGGAGGGCCCAGGTCATTTCTTTTTAAGATTTATTTATTTGTGCATACAAGAGCTAAGGTATAGGCCAAAGTGTGTAGCAGAGAGAGGATTCACCAGAGACAGAGTGGGGAGCAGAAAAGGAGGATTAACTGCAATACACTGCTGAGGGGAGCAGTGGTGTTGACAGAAAAGATCTGCTGTGCCATGTGGGTCAGCTTCTTGGTCAGGGATAGAACTCATACTATAGTGGCTGGTAATAGCTTCATAGCGTTGAGACTTAACCTCTGTGCAATCAAGGAGGTTCCCAGGTCCAAATAATTTTAACACTTTAAAAGCTAAAGATTGCCAGGGATGGGAAAGTCTCCAGGGTGCGTGACTGTGGCCAACGCCTTAGCAGGCTCCTCCTCAACAGTCAACAAGCCACAACTAACACACACAGCAACTCCCATGAGAATGCAGCGTGGGCTGTGTGAAGGAAGCAACTTTCAGAACCAGGGCCCGCAGGCCGAGAAGTTCATGAGCAAAAAGCAACAAAGAAGGGTTTGCTTAATGGATATGGAAAAACTGGTGCTGGGTCTAAGAAACAGCTGAGAGGTGTGTCTGTGCCCCCAGCAAAGGGCCTTGTCTGGTCTCCTCTGTACTTCAAACTCATGCAGGCCATACTGCAACTGCCCTGTTCCAAAAAAGTAACCATGGCAGGTGAAAGCGCTCCTAGAATTGGGAAAGCCTGAGGTGGGGATGCCAGGGAGAGGTGAGTACCAGGGTCTGGGAACCTGGGGAAAGGAGGAATCTGAGAGAAACACAGGTCTGCGAGGGGACCAGGGACAGGGCTGAGGTGTCAGGTGGGACTGCTGCCATCAAGCATTTATTGGAAGCTACTCTGAAGTTAAGAAGCCGAGTTCAGGCTGGCGTGGAATCCCAAAACCAGCCATCCTGGCTCCAAGAGGCTGACACTAGTCACCTCCTCTGAAAACAAACAGCTGGTGATTAATAACCTAATGTCTCTAGGGCCAGAGGGCTGAACATTAAGAGAATGTGAAGAGCTTTTATCTGAAGAACAATAATGACCCAGTAGTCAAAAGACAGTACAGTCTTCAGAAACTTCAATTGAACAGGTTGCTGTGGAGTTTTGAACCAAATACTGTCCTCAGACAACTGTATGACTGTCCACGGAGTCAGTGTGGCTTTGGGGGTGGCCACGGCCCTAAAGGATGTCTGTGGAGCCCCTTCCCTTGGGGTGGTGCTACTATTTCACATGTCATAGAAGGGAACCACGCTACCCCAGAAAATGAGTTTTCTTCTGAATTTCCCTGTTTTTACCAGTGATTCCAAGCTCATTCCAGACATATTTGCTTCAGAATCATCAAGTACTGAAACTATGTATTGACTTGACGAATCTTCTGCTTTCTTCATACTTGTAAGTTCTGTCCCTGTGATAATTTTCTCTGATCCACTTTTTTGACTTTGCTCTGATGTCAACACATATATCTGGACTATTACAGAAATCTCCAAGGAAACCTTTTGACTCCCGCCTCGTCTCCCTCCTGTCCAAGCTGCGGTAAAATAAAAACTCTATAGAAACTAGCTCTCAGGTCATTTCTCTTGTTTAGCAATGTACAGTCTGAATGTAAAGTAAAGTTCTAAACCAAGAGCTGGGATAAGACCCTCCTCTATGGGGCTGCACCCATCTCTGGAGCATCTGCTTATCTTCTCCCAAGATGCCAGGCCCAGGCCTTTGTCTTTTCTTCATGAGATTTATTTCCATTATCTCGCATTTTCTCTATGTCTAATAAAGCCGACATTGAGGGCTACTTTTTTTTTTTGGTATAGAACTGGGGCGTAGGCCAAGGGTTAGGGGGGGTGAGAGGAGTCACAGGAGTCAGAGTGGGGAGCAGAACAGGTGAGTCTTTTGAAATGCACTGCTGAGGGGAGCAGTGGGTGAGACAGGAGATGTCTGCTGCGCCATGTGGGTCACCTCCAGGGCCAGGGATCGAACTTGCACTGAAGAAGCCACACAGCTAGCTTCATAGTGCTGTGCTCTAACCCACTGCACCACCAGGGAGGGCCCAGCCCGAGGGCTATTTTAAGGTCAACTTCAAGACAGATGGTACTGGCAGCCCTTGTCCTTCCTCTGTTCTGTAGCAGTAAGAGCCACAAAGTACACTAATTGGTGTTTTTCTAGCTGGTTTTACACACATGTCCACATGCCAAAAAGATAGCAAACACCACATCCTACCCTCCCTGCTCCATGGCTGAAGTACCAGTAAAGTCTATAACCAAGTGAGATACATAAATATGCCCCCAAAAAGGAGAAGCCCACAACTTCACTGGTCAGAAGTCACTCTCTATAGAGACCAGAGGGAATATCCAGTTAAGCAAATCACTTAACATGCAGATTATTTAACAGTAAGACAGGTAGTTCCCAGAGTAAATATTTTCCATCCCTCCGCTAGCCTGAGGACAATGAAGTTAAAGCTAGTTTCTATGGATATCAATTACAACTCAGACAGCACCATTAATAATTCATTTTTCTTAGAGTTTCTTTTGGAATCTAGCCAATTCCCGTCTTTAGTTTCAATATCCCTACAATTCTGTGCTTCAGGTTCTAGAACTGCAAATGGCCAATTCGTCAGACATGTCGTATTCATTCCTTAGGTTCCTGTGCAATTATTTAGTATCAATCTACATACAACACCTGTTTCAATATGAATGTCACTCACTATCTTGCCTCCCCTTCATCTGTTCATATGAGATTTATTTTCAACCACCAAAAAGGTAAAACAGATACTTATTAAGTAATTGCAACACACCTTGTCATTCTTACCACAGGAAGTGGCTGTGAACCAGAGGCAGTTTCAGTGGCCAAATTCCGTAATAGGACTGAACTTAAAAAATATTTAAGTAAGGAGATATATGGTCCTAATGCATTCTCTGTTTAGAAGGACTGCATTTTTAGGAAACTGCTTTGGTTCTTACGGTATCATCCGCCCTTAGAAAGCAGGTACTGCTGACTATTTCTATTCATTTAACGAACATGTTGAGCCCCTAACATGTTCTATGCATGAAGATGGACACAGGGGATTCTGAGAAATCACTGTCCTTGCACTCTGAGAACTGTGTCCAGAAGAATCTGACAATGTTTGGTACACAGTGGCTAAACGTTTAGAAAATATTAAATGGTTTTTCCATGAAGATCCCCAGTAGTAGGTTTTGGGGGACCACAAGGAGAACCCAAGCATTTGTTCCATTGATGATAATTTCAAAATTAAGCACAAATTTCATATGAAAAAAAAGAAAAAACTGCAATGGATATACAAAAAATGACATAAAATTTGCCTCAAGACCTGGCATTCAGAACTCATGCAACATTCAGGTAAAATGTTTTAACAGTTCTTTTGAATAAGAAGGTGCTTGGCTAAAACCAGGGGCTCTGAGAACATGAAGTAGGATTAGGGGCTCACGGAACTTGTTCTCATGGCATCGGCAGAGTCTAACAATGTTCAACACATTGGTCATTTGGAAAAAGGGGACAATGCAAGAATATGATTTATTTCTCACAGTAAAAACCCTCCAGGGGCCCTCCCTGGTGGCGCAGCGGGTTAAAGCACTGCACTGAGAAGCTAAAGCCACTTCCGCATGAGTTCGATCCCCGCCTGCCCCGGAGGAGACCACATGGCGCGGCAGACCTCTCCTGACCTGCCCGCTGCTCCCCTCAGCAGTGTACTTCGTCGATCTGCCTGATCTGCTCCCCACTCTGTCTCTGGTGAATCCTCTCACCCTCCGCATCTCTGGCCTGTACCCCAGTTCTATATGGATAAATAAATAAATCTTTAAAAAAAAAAAAAAAAAACCCTCCAGGAAATGTAGGAGTCAGATGGGAGCACTGCTCTTCCAAACCTCTCTTGAATTATTAAACATCAGCAGTCTCTAGCCCTCTGTGCCCAGACGCTTTGAAAGGATGCAGTACCAAAGTCCATTAGTGCTGGCCCAACACTTTCTGTATTTTAAAACTCTCTTAGTTGGACTATTGAAATCTGACATCTAACCGGAAGCCAAAATGTAAAATAAAGTCTAGTTTTCCTGATAGCTCTTCTTTAGAACTTTCTGTTTGTTTGAAGACAGACTTTGCTTCTACACCTAAGGTTGCTCTGATTTTAGAAATCTGAGGAAACCTGGTAGAGGTGCTCAAGCTTTTCAAGGCTGCGGGTGATACTGAAGGTCGTCCAATTCAACAGAAAGTGACAGAACCCCACATTTCACAGGCTGATGGATGGGGGAGATGGGGAGATGCAGGGTGGAGAAAAAATGTCTAACTTCAGATTCAAAGAAGAAAAAGTATGGAGAAGAAAAAACAAAAATCCAGAACAGGCTGAAAGCTTCCAGCGTCTATTGACTAATTCACTGCCTGAAGTCAAGGAGGTGCTTCCCCAACACATCAGCTTAGCTACAGCCAGGACAGACCTACAGACAGCCTGACCCTGCCTGCCCTCCTGGGGTAGCAGGTTAGAGGGGGTGGCAGGCATCACTCAGGCGTCACACAAGCCTAGGGCTGAGGTCTGATGTGGAAGCCATGACGGCATGTGGCTACTGAGTGCCTGATATGAGGCTGGTTCAAACCGAGGTGTACTTTCAGGGTACGACACACACCAGATTGCAAAAACTGGCTATCCCCTCTTCCAAGAAAAACAGAAAGAAAGAAGAAGGCAAGAAGGAGGGAAGGAAGGAAGGAAGGAGGGGAAGAGAAAAGGAGGGGAGGAGGGAAAAAGGGAAGAAAGGAAGGGAGAAAAGGAAAGAATGTAAGAGGAAGGAATGAAGGGAGGGAGGAGGGAAGGGAGGGAAGGTAAAGTACCCTATATGTTTTATATTGACTATCTGCTGAAGGAATATTTTATATGTATTAGATTAATTAAAATATATTGTTAAAGTCAATTTTATCTGTTTCTGAAAAGAATTTTCTTAGTGGAGCTACTAGAGAACTTTAAGGTACCCAGGTGACTCTCTCTGATAGCCAACATATTCTCGATGGCCAGTGCTGGTCCAGAGCATCTTAATCTCACCTAGATTCTTTGAAAGAACAAAATTGAACATATAAAAATGGAGTTAGGGGCTCTCCCTGGTGGTGCTATGGGGTAAAGCACCACATTATGAAGCTCTCCAAAGCCACTGAAGCGAAGTTCCATCCCCTGCCCGGAGGTGACCCCCAAGGCGCAAGGCGTGTCAGACCTCTCCTGACCTGCCCACTGCTCCCCTCAGCAGTGTACTTCATTGATCTGCCTGTTCTGCACCCCACTGTCTCTGGTGAATCCTCTCACTGCCCTTGCACCTCTGGCCTGTACCCCAGTTCTGTAAGCATAAATAAATAAATCTTTAAAAATAAATGGAGTTAGACTCACATAGTAAATCACTTAGTTCCACAAGGTAACCTTGTTGACTCTCCTCTCTTTCTATTCTGGAATCAGACTAAATGTTCTTTTGTAGTCACTGGTTTTAGAGAATACCGAGAAAAGCATGACAGGTGTGTAACTGAAGATGATTTAAACATACTACATTTTAAAATTATAATATATTTATTGTAAAGTGTATCAGAAAAAATAAAATTAGCGTAACAAAAAAGAAAAGCACCACAGAGCATTCATTGGTCAAGGCACACATTTGGGGATCAGGCAGTCTGGAAGTGATCCTATTTCTACTATTTACTAGCTGCGTAGCATCAGGAAAGTTACCTATCATATCATAACCTGTATTTCCTATAAAAGGTTAATAATTTTTCCTCATAGGTCTCTGTATGGTTAACAGCCAGGGAGATAAAGAACTCAGACACCATACCTAACATGTATCCCTCAAGAATGGGAACTATCTTAGTAAATTTAAGCAGTGTTATCTGAACATATTCCAAATAATGATGGGGGAGGGGAGGGAAGGCAAAGGAGATGGGCTGCTCCTTCCTCACTGATGCCTGGGGACCTGTGAATTAGAAGCAAAAATCCTTAAATGTACTGTTTATTCCACACAGAGCAACACTGCCCTCTAGCGACAAAAATGCAGAGATGCATTCAGAGCAAACCACAAGATGAGAAGAAAAATGTAAATTTTCCTGGGCACTCAAAGACAATAAGTTCCCAGATATAGAGATAATTATCAAAGAACAGTTTTTACTGATGAGTCACCTTTAAAACAGTCGCATGGAATTGGAAGAGCAATAACATTATCAAGATTCACTCAGAGATTTTCATTTTGTTCATTATCCTGCTTGTCAACTAGAAATAATGACTTACTTGAACATATTAATAATAATACTTAAAGAGGACACAGCCTGATCTGTAATAGCTCCTAGGGCTTATTTTGGTAGGACAACACAGGAAGTTTGAGGTTTGTGGATTGTTCATTCTTTGTGAAGTGTTTGCAAAGCAGATTTGATCACACATTTATTTTACAATGATTAAGATCAAAACTGAAGGCTGAGCTGTTATATAAGCTTCAAAGCAATACTTTGCATTTCTGCTCTTTCTTCTTGCAGAACACCTAAGCCAAGATAACAGGGACTGCTGTCTAAGATTAACCAAGATAGAAGACAGACATGCTAAGCAGGACACATCAACATAAAATAGTAACTGCCATTATTTTGCTGCTGCTTCTGCTGTTACAATTGCCAGAGGGCCATGGAAGAAAAACTGAAAGACACAATAACTCCCTTTACCTCTAGAGTGTGAAAGCAAGGCTTTCCTACTTCCTTCCTTGTTCTGCTAATCACATCCATCATTTTAAAGCAAGAACATCTATGCATAACTCTGATGTCCCTGAGATTATGATGTTGGCTGAGGCCCAGTAATAGTAATGCAGACACTGATCTTTAATAAGGCACAAAGGTGATGTCATGATCTAAGTTGCCTGCTAAGACAAGACAGGCTATCATTTTGATCGTAAAGCAAATATGGTCATTTTGGGCAATCTTTGTCCACTTTTGTTCTCAATTAACTTGGATAAAAACCCTAGTATTTAACATTAGAAATATTTCATAATAAGTTTCCTCACTGAATTTTCATTTTTACTTTTGAGATCACAGGTCTGAACATTTCTCATTTGGTGAGTAGCTGGGTTAATATGTGACCCCCCCCTTAAACCAATATAACTAGGAAATTTGCCCTTTAGTCTCTTGCAGTTCTTGTTTCAATGTCCTGAAGGTACCCCAATATCCTGAAAAGGTAAAAAAAAAATGCTATGGAAAGATCAGTGCTATGAAGGTCAGGGCTGGGAACTCCATTTCAAGGGTCACAAGTGCCTAATCTGAGGAAGGAAGATTGAGCATTGCATACCTTGTCATGATATGGTCCTAAAACAATCCAGCCACAGAACGTGTAACCCAGATATATCATCCCAGCGCAAGCACAGAAGCGAAGAACTTTGGGCAGCGAAGCTTCCATCGTTAAAATGAGCACCTGTAAAAGAATAAATAAATAAACAGAATGAGGGAAATTAAAAAGTAGCTACTAGGTCCCAAAGAAGAAATAAGCCATAATGGTGTTGGCATTAGAAAATGCCATAGCCTTACATTATATGCCTGGAAGTAACCCAGATATCTGATGACTCCAACCCAGACAAAGAGCGTAGATGTTCCAAGAAAAATGCTGCACAGGTCGTAATTTGTGAGATTCTAAGGAATGAGGAAAAAAGACAGATGAGCAAGATATTCTATTCCACTGAATGTATTCACCACATTTTAAACTGATTGGAAAAGAAGGGAGTCCCTGATTCTCTATAGGGGATACTAGGAGTTTAAAATAGAAGAAAATACTAGTAGCACAAATGAGCTTCTCATTTGCATGTAGTATTTCAACAGATTTTTCGCAAATAATATCTTAAAACAGAAAAATGCATTTAGGACTCACCTACTGATTAAAGAATATAAACTAGTGGTATATAAACTAGTGGTATATATATAAAAAGAATATAAACTAGTGGTTAAATATCAACCTACACTTCTAAAAAAAAAACTCAACATGATTTTCTAACATAATTCCTGCTTTTAAGGAATTCTCTAACTGAAGAAACAGACCAATTCTAAAGGAATATGCTAAGTGTAAGAGAAGCACAAAGCCAGCTTGCCACAGGGGCTTCCCATGGGCATGCCAAGAACAGAGCTAGCCTGGGGACAAGCCAGGAGGGATCACTGAAGGTAAATAAACAAGGCTGAGCAAAGGCATGCGGCCAAGTGCCCGTAAGAGACACAGGTGGGTCACTGAGCATTAGCATGGAAGAGGAAGCCAGATGCTATATGAGGACCCTGGAGCCATACAGAAGGGAGGGGTCACTATACCCCAAGTCAAGGCCAGGATGGTTATGTGTCAATGTAAACTCATGATGTATGTGCATAACTATATTTCCTCCAGCTTTTTTAAAAAAAAAAATTCTCATTTATTTTTTTATATCATTGTTCATTTTTATACAATGTCTGTATTTACAGTATTACTGGGCATCAGCCAACATCATAATCTCTACACCCCTGATTGTCCTCACAGCGAACCCATGCAGGTCAGGCCCAGAGACTTTGCACATGTGAGTGTCCTATGAAGGAAGTGAGTTAAAAACCACCTGTCAGCCGCCACTGCCTACCTGTCTGAGCCCCTAGAATAGGTGTGTTCTGGAACATCAGCCCATCCTGTTAGGGGGCTAGAACCTCGAGTCCACAGGTTGGAGGGCTGGAAGCGCTGGCTCAGAGGCTCTTTCTAGCTCTTTCTAGAGGGGAGGGGGAGGAGGGTCAATGTGGGAGGGAAGACTGCAACTCAAAAGATACTTCCAGAAAGAATATTCTGAATCTATGAGGATGAGTCTGAAGTAAGAAAACTGGTGAGAAGGCTGCGGCAGCAGACCAGGCCTGAGAGGAAATGCTCCAGAGAAAGCCAGAGGTCGATAGGATGGAGAGGGCTGAGGCCCTTCAGAGGGCAGGAGGTCAAGCTTCAAGTATGTGCTCACTGACAACACAGCATGGGGAGGGGGAGGCTGGTGAAGGAGTCCACGGAGTTATGAGATTAAATCAAGTAAGTACCATTAAATTTCAGGCCCCTGGTAGGCACTCAAATGTTCCTTCCTTTGCCCATCCACCAGGGCAGCCCTGGTTCTTAACATGACTGGCCAAGGTTATGGTCATCTGCTCCTGTTGAACTTAAAACAACAGCAATAACTGGCCCTCCCTGGTGGTGCAACGAGTTAAAGCACTGCACTAAGAAGCTTAAGCCACTTCCACATAAGTTCGATTCCCGCCAGCCCCGCAGGCGACCACATGGCGTGGCAGACCTCTCCTGACCTGCCCACTGCTCCCCTCAGCAGTATACTTCGTCGATCTGCTGTTCTGCTCCCCGCTCTGTACCTGGTGAATCCTCTCACCTACCACACCTCTGGCCTGTACCCCAGTTCTGTATGAATAAATAAATAAATATTTAAAAAAAAAAAACAAAACAGCAACAATGAAATGAAGCTCACTCAAACAACCAATCTTTTCAAGTTTCAGATCCTAATCTGAAATCTGAAGGTGCTGTCAAGTTTCCATACACCAGCTTCCTTATTGTTCCTTCATAAAAGGTCATGTCAGAGGAGGCTTTGTTTTTATGGGTGTGAGAAAAAGATGAGCATCAAACTAGTCTCCATAAAGATTCTGTTTTTTTTAAAGTGCCTGTGGTCATCAGGAATGGAAAGAAAGGTCAGAAGACTTTAAAGGGTGTGTCCCTCACCTTTGCTTTAATCTCCATTTTTAATATCGATCCAATTATTGTCATGAGGTCGCTGATAATCACCAGGATGTACCATCCATTGATGAACTCACATTGGTCAGCGTTGCACACACGACGTTTGTACTTCTCCAGGAAAAAGTCTAGAAATCGCTGCATAGTGAACATTTCAAAAAGCACTGGGTTACACTCCTAGGTATCTACCCAAAAGACACAAAAACACTGATTCAAAAAGATACCTGCACCCTCATACCTGCTGCTTTATTTACAATTGGAAAAACATGGAAGCAGCCCAAATGCCCAAAAGTAGATGACTGGATTAGAAAGATGTGGTACATATACACAATGGAATATTACTGAGCAACCAGAAAAAGAAACACGTCTTTTGCAGCAACTTGGATGGAGCTGGAAAAGATCATGCTTAGTGAGGTAAGCCAGAAAGAAAAAGAAAAATACCAGATGGTTTGCAGGAGTATAATGGACCAGATGAGAAAATAATAAGAATAATGAACAGCCATATAACAGAGACATTTTGTGGGGATAGAGTGGGGGATGGGATCAAAAAGGGTGGGGGGAGGGAAGTGCACTGGACTATGGTGATGGCACATGGGTGACTTGGTGATGGGAAACCTACGGAGATTACAATTGAGATGGGAAAAAATGTACAAAATGATGTAAAAATAAACTATTATATATATACAAAAGGTTGGCAGAAATGCTCATAAACGTATTAACATACAAAAAAAAAAAAAGCACTGGGTTAAAGTCTCAGGGCTATCAAGCTATCCTCAGCCACTGCGGCATGAGTTTGATCCCAGCCAGGGAGCTGACCCACAAGGCACAGCAGACCTCTCTGTCTCACCTACTGAGCCCCTCAGCAGTGTGTGTTTCTATAGATCCACCTGTTCTGCTCCCCACTCTGACTCTGGTGATTCCTTTCACCCCCTACACCCCCCAAACACACCTCTGGCCTGCACCCCAGTTCTTCTATGCAAAAATAAATAAATAAAATCTTTTTTAAAAACGTATTTCTTACAAACCACACTGCCCTCTGGGAGGAGGCAATGCAAAGCAGTGTTCTGGGATATGAACTGATGTGGGGTTACCTGCTCCTACTCGATAGATCCCTCTCAGGAGTAGAGAGTATAGCACACACTTCCCCTGCAATCTACTCTAGCTTTAAGCAAGTATTCTAGCGCCTGCTAAGTTAACTGGATCATTAAATACTTAGGGTCTCAAGTCACAGAATCTAACAGCTGCCACAGAGGACATTCCAAGTACCTCACCTGTGACTAACTCAGTCTAGCCACAACCCTCCACCTCAGGCACAAATCTTTCTTTCAAAGGGGGAAACTGAGGTACAGAGGGGGTAGGCCAGGATTTGGGTCTAGGCAGTCAGTTCCAGAACTTGTGTTCCCAATGTTCCCTCTTATTTGGACCGAACCAGGACCCCAGCCTTGGAACCAGAATTTCAAGGGATTTCAGGAAGGGGTAAGAGATGGATGCTTACAAAATGAGTCAACAAAGGTCAAGAACGAATAAAATAGAATAAATGTAGACCATTTATTTGCTCCACAAATGGTATCCTCTGACTTCTTATTTCCCCTGACCCTGGAGTGAATTTACACACATGCCACAAACTGAATAAGATTTGTGGAGAGTTGGCGTATATATTGACAAGAGCCCTGAAGGTAAAAAAGTAAAATGAAACTCTGGGGAGAATTTTTAAACTATTTAAAAAATAGAATCAAGTATTTATGTTTCATTATAACCCACTTACCATACCTCTCTGTCAAAATGAGACAAAAGATGAAACCCACACATGCTATTACCCTGTTCTTAAGATCACTCTTGAATTTAAAAGGGTCTCGTTATTCTGGAAACATTCAAAATTTCAAGAGTTCACCTGTGTTTATCACCTCTGATTTAAGTAGGATAATTATGTGATCACGCTTTATGCACTGAGAACCTTAACACGCTTCCTGCCCCTCGGGGTGATTAAATACCTCATGGGGGCAGTCACTCAAGGGTCTAATTTAGTGAAGCCCTCCAGAAAGGGGAAGGAAACCCAACATAGGATCTGATGTTGGGGCAAACTGAGGGCAGAAGCCAAGAGGAGGGAGAAAATTGGAACACACACTTACCTTTCGTAAACGGAGAGCAAGAATGATGGACCTGGTACACAGAATAAGAGATGCCAAGCAAATCACGATGACAAAAGCATCAAATATGAGCACGTACTGAGTGTTTTTCTGAACTGAGGAACAAAACAATTCGACCATGAAACACCTCCTCCCTAGAAATCATTTCCAAACAAGATGGCAGTCTCAAAAGCAGTTTAAATGATTAATAACATGAGGACCAGATCACACTGCATTTGCCCACAAAGTCAGAAGTCCACAAATAAGGCAGAGCATTCATTCCTTGAAGTTAAGAGATTTACATTGAGGCACACAAACTCTTAACAAATGCATTCAATTGTATTTGTAGTTATTTATCATAGACTAGATTTCCCCAGACAGTGGTCCATTTGGACTCCCTTCAAGAGAAGCAAAACTGCAGACATACTTGGTTCTGTCCTATTAATGCACAAACATCAAGTTCTTCTCAATGAGGGAACAGCTTAAACCACCACCATGAGAATGTGCATTCCTGTTGCTCAACCTCACTGTGCCCTTTTCCAGGAAAGATGTCAATAATAAAGTCTTTGTCGGACCCTCCCTGGTGGCCCAGCAGGTTAAAGCACAGCACTAAGAAGCTAAAGCCACTTCCGCACGAGTTCGACCCCCCACTCCGGAGGTGATCTACATGGCGCGGCAGACCTCTCCTGATCTGCCTGCTGCTCCCCTCAACAGTGTACTTCGTCAGTCGGCTTGTTCTGCTCCGCTTTGTCACACGTGGAAAAACAACTTCTTGAAATGGAAGAAGGAGAGGCGTGATAAACAGAAGTAGAATTTGGTACATGGTAGGACTTAACAGATAAATCCAGAGACCCCAGCAGAAGAAGAGAAGATCACTGAATAATCTAAGAGAATTGCCAAGGAAGGTTGAATTAAATTAGAGGCAAAGAGAGAGAAGTCAGAAGAGTCAACCTGGTCTCCAAATGGACTGAGGGCCAGCCAAGAATCTCTGGTTGTCTGCTTTGGGTAAACCGATCTGCCTGACACCCATGGCAAGGGGGCGGGGCTTGGCTGCAGCTTAGATCCCTGGGTGGGGCACAGCCATTCGGAGAGACCACAGAAACTCGACCAGCAAGGGCTGAGGGGCGTGGCTGGCAATGTTCCAGAATTAGAGGAGATGAGCCCAGGAATAAGACAGAAAAAGGTCTGAGGAGAACACCCAGGGGATGGGCTTAAAGTTGGGGTGCTATACAGTGACACCTCTCCAGAGAAGGCATTTGGGAGAAAAACTGAGCATCCACAAGTTTCTTAATAACAAGGTTATGAGCCCTCCTTGGTGGCGCAGCGGGTTAAAGCACAGCACTAAGAAGCTTAACTCACTTCTGCATGAGCTCGATCCCCACCTGCCCCAGAGGAGATCCACATGGCGTGGCAGACCTCTCCTGACCCGCCCACTGTTCCCCTCAGCAGTGTACTTCGTCCATCTGCCTGTTCTGCTCCCCACTCTGTCTCTGGTGAATCTTCTCACCCTCTGCATCTCTGGCCTGTACCCCAGTTCTGTATGAATAAATAAATAAATCTTAAAAAAAATAACAAGGTTATGACTGACAATGGCATGTGTCTGAGGGCAAAGCAGCTCATCTAGGGGGTGATGGCACAGTCAGCTGGCAAGTGGAATTTTCTGAACAGATGATTTAGCCTTGTTAGGCATCAGATCCCGTGATTACAAAGTGGGACAGTGACTGAGCCTGGACTGTGGGGAAAGAGGTAGTTATTCCTATCAAGTACTTGTTAGAGCCTTACCTAAGACTACCACTGACATTTACTTTTAGCCATTTTCTATTTGGAAGCTCAAGTTACCTCAAGATATCATCTCATGAGTAGGTAAGAAAGCAACTTCACTCTACCAGGACTCAAGATCATTTTTTAAAGAGTTATTTATTTATGCATATAGAACTGGAGTACAATCCAGAGGTGCAGGGGCGGTGAGAGGATTCACCAGTAACAGAGAGCAGAGCAGAACAGACGGATAGATTGAAATACACTGCTGAGGGGAGCAATGGGCGGGTCAGGAGAGGTCTGCTGCAGCATGTGGATCAGCTCTGGGACAGGGATCGAACTCATGCTGAAGTGGCTTTAGCTTCTCAGTGCTGTGCTTTAACCTGCTGCGCCACCAGGGAGGGCGCTCAAGGTCATTTTTTAATGGACCCATGGAATGAGGTAGAGGGAACAGGGGCAGTTCTTGGAAAGATGGGGCTGAAAATCTTATAAATTGCAATAAGAATTTTTAGTGTTTCCTTTCTGACTGATCACTAGAACGCAGTTACTAAGATGCTTGTGCTGACACCAAGTTACAAACGTAAAACCTGACACCCAGATCTAGAAAAATAGACCATCTCTCCCAGCACATAAACCAGTATCATAATCTGTTTTGATTTATTGAGGTCAGTTTGGTGTGCTACAAAAAGTGTTTCATGATACTTCTGATCCAATTTTATGAAAGCAACTGCTTTTTTGTGCTGCTGAAATTATTCCTATAGGAATATTTTTAGATGCCCCTCCTGAGAACCTGTGAAAGAAGTTCCTTCACACCCCTACCTGCTTGTGTGGCTCTAACTGGGATTCCCACTCTTCCTAAACATCCTGACCCCCATTTATGTCACCCACCAGTGGGGAGTTCAGGCCACCAATATCTCCCTCTGCCCCTCAAGTCCAAAGCATTGTCTATAGAATTAAGGTAAAGTGAGGAGGATGGGCTGCACACATCATCAAGGTCAAAATCAGGCTGACATGTAAAAATGGACATTCCCTCATGTTTTCTCCTGGGGATAACACTGGTAATGAAAGGGAGAGATTAAGTAAGGGATGGGAAGAGGGACAGAGACAGAAAGGGAGAAGCAAAGCGGGAGGAGAGGGAGAGACCACCTCAGGAAAAGTGCATGGATATGAATGAACTATGGAGATTTTTTGGAAATAAGACAAGAATCCATCAGATGCAGCCTCTGCCTTTCTCCCTGCCCCACACTCCCCTACTATTTCCCCCCAGACCAGAGGAATCAATTCACCAGACAACTTTGTATTCAGGGGGGAAAGAATCGATTTCCTAAGCTTATTTCCAGACTTCAAGTTCATGTCACATCATCCTATTTTAAATTTGTATTTTTCCAGTGACAAAATCTGGTTTCTTAGGAAGAACTCTGGGAGAACAATGCTTCATGCCCCATTTTCTAAGCCTTTTTGGGACGCTCGTGTTTCTCCTCACCTGCCACAAGAGGGAGCCAGAGCTTTGCTCTCCCTCCTGTACAGTAACGGAAACCCCTAGAGTTCTAAGGAACCCAAAACGGGGGAAGGAGGGGGTTGTGGAATAACTCACTCAGTCATAATGATTATTCCAAACCACATTTCATATAACAAAGGTTAATTTTTTTTAACCACATAAAATACCTACAATCTACACTTGAGGTTTGGAAAATATGCATCTGATCTGTGCCTTTCTTGGGAGAGTAACTGCTAATAAACAGTAACCATTTTTTAACAAACACTAAAACTACATTCTGATTAGAGGCTTGAGTTAGTTAATGGCTGCGAAAGACAAAACTTCAAAGTCATCAGACATGTAACTGAAGAGCATGAGGCAAACAACACAAACCCAATTTAAAATAAATCTAAAAGTTCAGAACCACAGGTATTTTACGTTTTATTTTATTTTGACCATCTGGTCAAAGGCAAACTGCAGTGAGACAAAACATATAAATTTAAAAATACTGACCAAAAATACTAGCCATACATAATATCAGCCAACCAGTCAGCAAGAATAAATTTTGTGTAGCTCATTTTAAGTGTTTTTCTTTGGGGGGGCCGGCAGACCGGGGGTGTGTGTAGAAGAACTGTGATATGGGGTGCAGAGTTGGGAGCTGGTGAGACAGAGTGGGGTGTAGAACAGGCAGATCTACTGAAATACATTGCTAAGGGGAGCAGCGGTTGAAACAGGAGAGGTCTGCCATGCCATGTGGGTCAGCTCCCTGGCCAGGTATCAAACTCAGATCCAGAGATAATAGCACAGAGATTTAACCCCAGGCAGCAGGGAGGCTGGTATGTTAAAAGGTGTTTTCTGAGCCATGAGTGAGTGAAGCTGTTGTTGCCTCTCCAACGTCGAAGTCTCCTACCAAAGCACACTTCGTCAAGAATCACTGCTAGGTTTTATTTTTTACTCTGCCCCATTCAAAACTATCCTGTGTGCTCTTTATGCTTAGGCCTTTGGTATCTCCACTTCTGCCCTTCCATGACACATAGAGACTTTATATGTCTGTCTTCTTCATTGAGTTATTTTTCCCTTTTCAGTAGTGCCCAGCAATTACTGTGTGCCAACTCTGTTCTCAATACTTTGCTTTACATCTGAGCTCATTTAATAATCAACACTCTAGATAGCAAGTACTACCATCAATCCTTTGTTTTGCAGAGAATGATACTGAAATCAAAGAAGGTAAGTAAGCTTGGAGAACAGAATCAGGTTCCAAACCCAGGCTGTCGGGCCCCAGACTCTGCCCCTAACCCCTGGGTCCTGCTGTCTCTGCTAAGAGGTATCCAACCACAATTTGCTCAATTGAACAAAAACGCTAAGCTTTGGGAAATATTTTACAGAATTGAATGCTCAAATTGAGTTTTCTAAAGATGTTTCTTCTTAAAACCATTTGAATAATCCATATAAACACCCCAAGCCCCAAAATGAAGTGTTAAAAATCATCCATAACCCAGCATATGACATACTTACTAGATCCGGATATGCTCAAGTCTTTACATTCTTCTATTTTAGCTTCACTGTTAAAATAGATTTTGATTTTGCCGCTGTGAGCTTTGTTGTCAAAGATAATCTGGAAACACAAATGTATAGAGATGTTACACTCAGCAGATATGACCTGTTAAATCGAATCTATGTGAAATCTCAAGGATATGCAATCAGCCTGCTAATCCACAGAGAATTCTACTGATGAAAATGCCTCATCACATGATTCCTTCCCAACAATATTTTTAATTAATGAACAGTCATTACCACCTTGAAGAGTGAATATAGATCTAGTTCTATAAATCTAAATTCTGGTTCAGAGAAATCCTAAAGCAAAACAAGTAAACAGTTCCAGGAACAAGAATTTACCAATCCTTGACAAAACAACACAATGACCTCACTTAATCCACCAGATGGAATTGAAAAGCATTTACTTTCATTTATTCCTTTGGGGATGAAATTCCAGATTTTGGTAGACTGGAAATTATTTTCCTATTTGTTTCAAGTGATTTCAGAAATGACAAAGATTGTGTCAAGGTTGCCAGGCTGAATTTAAGATTTCTGAATGCCTTCAATCTTTCACATTATGTTTCAATTATGACATACGCAAAGTATTGGGAGAATATTTCAGGGGCTTTCCTGGGGAAAAACAAAATTGGGAGTGCCAGAGTTAGTGGAGGCTTAGAGGTAGATCACAGCTTTTAAAAATGTTGCCTGTATAGTTTAATTCTTGAACCTCTATTTTTTAAAATAATAGTTTATTTTTACATGATTTTGTGACTTTTACCATCTCAGTTGTAATCCCTGTGGGCTTCCTATCACCAAATCACCCATGTGTTTGAACCTCTGTTTTAATCATAGTGACGTTCTTGGATTATAGAAAATGTGGCTTGCATTCAGAGATGGTCAGGTACTTACAGATTTAATAACAGAACATATAGGTTCAGTTCTCCAAGTTAATAACCTATGATTTTTTAAATATGTTTCATACTGTGTAGGACACCACAAGGAGATTACCCAGGCTCTTCCCTGACAGAGGCATTCTTCCTCACCCTATGTCATAACTTATAATTCCTTTCATTTCTTCATTGACCCTCCCTCTTAAATGTGGCTGAGAATGCAAATACTTGCCCTGTTTTCAAAGACATAACAGTCTGGTAGCTCTCGGGAATGAATGGTCTGCAGGTCGATGCCTTTTAGATGAAAGGAGATTTCAACTTGTAAGAGCCTGCACAAAAAACACACCACAATGGACAGGTTGTCATTGTTTTTTATCACTCCTCTGCTGTCCCCATCCTCATTTCCTGGGGAATGAGACTTAAAGCTTATTTACCGATAAAATTCCAGCCTGAAGAATGGTGAGTTCTTCCAGTCCTGGGGGCCCTGGGATGGGGACTGAAGGGCCAGGTGGACACAATCTAGGGAATGAGAGACATGCCATATCATCTCAGGCCAGAGTCTGATGCTGAAGTAGAGAGCCATGTGGAGTGTGCTGAGAAGCAAGAGACTACAACATTCCAAACTATGTTCCCAAATATTCTTTGAAATACTACAATATTCCAAGTATTTTCTCAAAAAAGACTTACTAATTACAACAGGATGATCAGACCCTTTATAGTGGGGACCTTGGCAGTTACCACCCTAACCCTGTGATCAAAGTTAACCTCCCAGTAATGAGACAGATCAGCAGTTTGTAGTTCCTGAAATAGAGTCCCTTGTGTGAATGTGGTGTTCTTGCATCAAAGGCATATGATCAGTCTAGCGATAAAATAACAGAAAAACACAAAGCCAGGGACATTCTATTTTCTAAATAAGTCAGGTCATTTTTTTTTTAAGATTTATTTGTTTATACATACAGAACTGGGGTACAAGCCAGAGGGGCAGGGGTGGTGAGAGGATTCACCAGAGACAGAGTGGGGAACAAAACAGGCAGATCAATGAAGTACACTGCTGAAGGGAGCAGCAGATGGGTCAGGAGAGGTCTGTTGCGTCATGTGGGTCACCTCCAGGGCTGGGATCGAACTCGCACTGAAGCATCTGTGGCTAGCTTGCAGTGCTGGGTCCTAACCCATTGCACCACCAGGGGAGGGCCCAGGTCTTTTTTAAAAACCCAAAGAGGGCCTTCCTGGCGGCATAAGTGGCTAAGTCTCAGCACTATGGAGCTATCTGTAGCCACTGCAGCATGAGTTTGATCCCCAGTCAGGGAGGTGACCCATGTGGTACAGCAGACCTCTACTGTCTCACCCACTGCTCCCCTCAGCAGTGTATGTCACTGCCTGTTCTGCTCCCCACTCTGCCTCTGGTGAATACTCTTACACTCCCTTCCCCCCCCCCATATCTCTGGCCTGTACTTCAGTTCTTGTATTCATAAATATATAAATCTTTTAATAAAAAATATAAAGCTAATTGACACAAGCTATGCAGCGTCTATCGACTAACAGATTCCGGATCGGGAAAAGCTCTGAAAAATCAGAATTTCCACTGCTAACTTATTTTATGACTTCCCTTTTTTTGTATAATCATAATATCAAAATATTCTGAGCAACCATCAGTTTACAACTGGATTGTCTCAGCCTCATAAAGCAGCTGCCTGGTTCAGGCAAGCTGTCTCAGGGCGAGAAATCCCTCTGTCTCCTGAGACAGAAGGCAAGCCCCACAAGAGGTAAGACCCCAGGGCATAAAAACTCCTGGGAAGTTGGCCCTCCCTGGTGGCGCAGCGGGTTAAAGCACTGCACTGAGAAGCTAAAGCCACTTCCGCATGAGTTCGATTCCCGCCTGCCCCGGAGGAGACCACATGGCGTGGCAGACCTCTCCTGACCCGCCCGCTGCTCCCCTCAGCAGTGTACTTCGTCGATCTGCCTGTTCTGCTCCCCACTCTGTCTCTGGTGAATCCTCTCACCCTCCGCATCTCTGGCCTGTACCCCAGTTCTATATGGATAAATAAATAAATCTTAAAAAAAAACCAAAAAACTCCTGGGAAGCTTCCTTGGTTTTTTTATATAAAAAAGCAAACCTCAGATAAGACTCCCAGGGTATAAGGACTCATGGACAAATTTTCACCTTGATTACACAGGTGTTGTTTGATACACAACTGTACAACTTTCTCTTAATTTACTCCTTTTTAAAACAAACACTAACTACATTCTGCTAGCCTTAAATTAGCCACTAGCTTTTCTTTGGACAGTCACTGATAACACTGCTAACACAATTTATTACTACCCCAAGGCCCCTAGTAACCTTTTGCTAATGAGCTCATCCCTTTCCAGACCCCTCTTCCTTTGAGTGATAACCAAACAGCTGTACACATGACAATTATCACAAAAACATATAATCTAGTATTCCATAAGATGTAATCTAGTATTCCATAAGATGTTAAGAGAAAAATGCTTTGTACCCCTTGTCCTTAAGAACGTTTTATGGTGATCTCTCATTAACTACCCTATGCATTATTGCAATTAACTACTTGTTACACAGCATAAATAAAGACCTGCTGAGGGAATGGCAGGAAGACTTGCACCCAATCCTGACTCTCGTGTCTTCCTCGGATCCGCTCCCCTCTCCCCTTTTGGAATCTCTGCTCAAGGATGCCTTCCCACCACAGGGCCCTGCCTGTCTCACCTCCAGACACCTCAATAGTTGGAGCTGGTCTCCAACAGCTAATGAATTTAACTTTGTTTCAGATTAAAGGAGAAGCAAGACATGACAACTAAGGCAACATGTGATCCTGGAGGAAAGACAATAGGACAACTGATGAGATATAAAAAGAATTTACAGATTTTTGTATTGCATTCATGTTAATTTATAATTCTGAGCACTGTCCATTGGTTCTATTGAGGAAGTTCTCATTTGGGGGGAACACACTGTGAAGTATTTAAAGTGTCTCTGGATCTATTCTCATGCATTGCAGGAGAAACATTATATTTAGGAAGAATGAGAAAGTAAATGTGGTAAGATGTTAGCATCTGGGAAATCTCCATCAAGGGTGTAAAGACTATTTTGCAGTGTTTCTGTTAAGTCTGATACTTTTCAAAATAAAAGAGAAAAAGAAAGGAAAGGAACTTAGATTACATTCCAATAAAAATAAATCATGTACTCTAAGCTATAAATGAGTCCAAGAGCTTCCCATAAAAGTTAATCTCCTGGCCCTCCCAGGTGGCGCAGCGGGTTAAAGCACAGCACTAAGAAGCTAAAGCCACTTCCGCATGAGTTCAATCCCTGCCTGCCCCGGAGGAGATCCACATGGCGTGGCAGACCTCTCCTGACCTGCCCGCTGCTCCCCTCAGCAGTGTACTTCACCGATCTGCCTGTTCTGCTCCCCGCTCTGTCCCTGGTGAATCCTCTCACCCTCCGCATCTCTGTACCCCAGTTCTGTATGAATAAATATTTTTTTTAAAAAAAAGTTAGTCTCCTTACTGTGCAGCCTGACAAGTGAGCAGGAACCCAAGGGGACCCAGAGATAGTGACCCCCTTTCGAGGTCACAGAGCCCTAGGGAATTAATGGCGTGAGGCCAGGCCGGTCCCTTCATGCTGCCTGTGACAAGGGCGAGTCAGGCTGACCTCAGGGCCAGGTCAGTAGGTGCGTTGGAATCCTGGCAGACTCATGGCTAATTCTTTTTTTTTTTTTTTTAATTTATTTATTTATGCTTATAGAACTGGGCTACAGGCCAGAGGTGTGGTGGGTGAGAAGATTCACCACAGATAGGATGGGGAGCAGAACAGGCAGATGTACTGAAATACTCTGCTGAGGATTTCAGTGGAAGCAGTGGATGGGTCAGGAGAGGTCTACTGGGTCATGTGGGTCAGCTACCTAGTAGAGGATCAAACTTGCGCTGCAGTGGCTTCGGAGAGCCTCACAATGTGGTGTTTTCATGGCTAATTCTTTACAAAACTTTTCCCACAATTGCAACACCTTACTTATCTATCTGTCCTCTCAACTAGAAGACCAGAGCTATGTTTGTTCAACATCCACTGCTTATCATATAACTAGCTCTCAAAATATGTAAGTTACATTTATAAAAATTAGCCATCCAGGCCCTCCCTGGTGGTGCAGCGGGTTAAACCACAGCACTGAGAAGCTAAATCCACTTCTGCATGAGTTCGATTCCCGCCTGCCCCGGAGGTGACCACATGGCGTGGCAGACCTCTCCTGACCAGCCCGCTGCTCCCCTCTGCAGCGTACTTTGTCTATCTGCCTGTTCTGCTCCCCACTCTGTCTCTGGTGAAGCCTCTCGCCGCCCCTGAGCCTCTGGCCTGTACTCCAGTTCTGTATGCACAAAATAAATAAATCTTTAAAAAAAAAAAAATTAGCCATCCAGGGCCAAAATGGGGACACAGAACTGACTGGATAATGCAACAGGCAAAATAATTCTGAAAGGCAGATGTCAGAGGCGATGCTTCTGTTTCTGGAAAATGGATTATGAGTATCAAAAATAATCCAGGGCTTCCCTGGTGGTGCAGGGATTAAAAGACACAGTGCTATCAAGCTATCACAAGTCACTGCAGCATGAGTTTGATCCTTGATCCCAGTCAGGGAGCTGACCCACATGGAGCAGCAGACCTCTCCTTTCTCACCTTCTGCTCTCCTTAGCCATGTATTTCAGTGAATCTGCCTGATCTGCTTCCCACTCTGTCTCTGGTGAATCCTCTTATCCACACCTCTGGGCTTTACTACAGTTCTTGAATACATAAATAAGTAAATCTTAAAGAAAAAAGGAAATAATCCAGTGATGGTTTTTCCTGACTAGACTTTGTTAGGGCAGTTAATGAAAAGAAACTTACATGCAAAGGGAAAAGACATAAACATTGCAAACACATGGAGCATTTTACCCTATGTCAGGCCCTGTGCTAGGGGTTTTATATGTTCGCTCACTTAATGTATCATTTTGTTTATCTCCAAAGCCATCTCATGATATAAGCACTATTGCTGCCACTTTATAGATGGAAAAGCCAAGGCACAGAGAGGCCAAGAAACTTCCTCAAGGTCACATAGCTAGCTGGTGACAAATCAGAATTGTCCAGCCCTAGAATCTGAGACCTTCCCCACTACAATGACAAGGCTGACCTCTGAGCATCTATTTCAGAAGAATAGTAAAAAGCTGGGACTTCTTATCCCCCTCCTTCACTTATTCAGTAGATATTTGCTGGAAGTTTTTATGCACCAGGCATTGAAGATGAAACAATGAGCAAGACAGACTAGGTCACATTTGGGGATGGTGGTGGGGACAGGAGAATAAAACAATAGTGTAAAACATATGCAAGATTATTTCACCTTGCAAAGCACTCCAGAGTGAGGTGCTAGAGATAAAGGGTGGGATGGCCCTACCTTGAGAACAGTGGGTGAGGAAGGCTTCTGACGAGCTAGGGATATTTGAACTGATACCTGAGGGAGCAGAGAACCACTTGTGAGCAGATGGGGGGG